CTCCAGTGCAGGGATGTGTGCTCCAGGCCCATAAAGGAGGAGGAAGGACTCTGGGAATCCCATGGGCAGGCAGCCTGCTCTGCCTGGGCACTACCCCACGGAGCAGGAGGCACAGCAGAGCTCCTGTGCACGACTGGAAATGTTTCTGTCACTACCCCAGGGCTTTCAGCACTCCAACTCTTCAGCTGTAGATGAGGCTTTGCACAGCAGTGCTTGGCCCGAACTGAAAACCCACGGAGCTTCCAGCAGTCCAGAGCACAGCAGAAAATTCTGAGCTTTTCATTTCCAGGTCATGGGCTCAGATCAGCTTTTCCTCAGCTGTGACCCAAAGGTGTTAATGTAAAATAAACATTGAACATGTAAAATCAACCCTAATGTGAGGCTCAGAAAGGAAGCACAGAATCCTCAGGGTTGGAAGGGACCTCTGGAGATCATCCAGTCCAACCTTGCTGTCACAGTGGTGGTGTTTTGCACCACTTCATTAGTGGTTTGTCTCCATTTATTTTGTTGTCACTCAGAGCCAGGATTAAAAAATACACCAAGGAAATGGATTTTATCCTGTTTGGGATTGTTTTTTTAAAATCTTATCAAAAGTACAGAAAATTCAGCAGCACTTGTAGCCATCTGCTAGAAGTGAGGAAAATGGAGTGATATCCAGCTGCTACAAAGCTGAACAGTGCAATAGAGAATGAACACCTCTATTATTTATCCTTTTAACCCAATAACTAACTTCCCATGACCCTCAGTGTGACACTGACTGACCAACCAGAAACCACAACCTGAAACCACGAGGAAGATGAGCACCAAAAATGACAGCACCCAAAATCCTCCATCTTCCATCCTCCATACCTGTTACTGTATCATAAAAACCTCAAATTCCAAACCCTTCACCATGTGCAATCACACACTTCTATTTCACTCCACACCAGTGATTTTAACCCCATCACCCAAATTTGGAGCCTTCTCCAAGGGCTCAAGTCACAAGCAGTGTTGTGCAGGGGGTCAGTGCCTGACAGCACAGAAAACTCAAAAAATCTCAACTCAAAAAAAACTCAAAAGGGTTGTGGGATCCAGCACAGGTGACCCAGGAACCTGGCCAGGTGAGCTGGGAATGTCTCCAGGGACACTCCATGACCTCCCTGGGCAGTTGTTCGTTGTTTTGCCCCCTTCGTTGCGGAAATCCCTTCCTCGTGTCACAAGTGTTTAGTCACTGGGTCATAAGTATAAATACTATTGATGTTAGCTTTTAATTAGACTGTTTGCCTTTAAAAAAACCTTGTAATGATCAGAATACAGCTCCATTTTAACTTGTTAGCTAAAAGTACTAAAAAACTCTCTATACTATAAATGAAAATTAATAAACAACCAAGTCCAAACACAAAAATCCATCTCTCATGGTTCAATCCTAACTCTAACTAAAAATAATCAAACAAGCAAACAAGAAAATAACCCTTAATATGTGGCACTACTAATACTCATGTTGAGGTGAAACTTCTTCTGTTTTATTTGCACAACCATCTCCCCAAACTCGAGCAGATTATTTGGCAGTGTCACTCAAGCACCCAAATCAGCTGTTCCTACCAAAAACGTGTAACTCAGTGAGACAAAACCATTTTTATCCTCTTTGGAAAACTCAACTTCAACTCAAGGCTCAGAGTTTGTATTCATATTAATAAGAAAACTCCTGTTTGTTTTGCATATGGATAATTTCCTCTTGAATTTCCATTACAAAGTCACATCTGGCATGGGAAAGTTGTACAGTTAGGCAGCAAACTTTTTTTTAACATCTTTCCCAGGCTGCCTGTGGCCCCTGTGCTGCTCCCAGCCCTGACTCTTCTGCTGCTGAGGTGCACAAAGCTTTGTGCTGGCACAGAAAAATTGAAAAGTCAATGTTTGTTACCATTGTGACTTTCCATTTTTAAAAAGGGGGAGGAAACCTCAAACCTCAGAAAATAATAATGAATAAAAACCGAGAAAACACCAATTTTAATGGGCACAGTGCATCATTCTGATGTTATCGAAACATTCTGGGTTGGGTCTTATGTTTGCAAAAGTTTCTTCTACCTGTTAAATACATTTTGAAAAGGGTATTTCTGGGCTGAAAGAATGGAACTTTTCATTTAACAACTGTCAAAACCAGACTTTTCAATATTTCAAAGCTTACTTCTTTTTTTAGACATTACATTCTTTAGAACCTACTCTTTACTGTCAAAAATTCAGTGAATCACTACTTTTCAATGGCAGCAAAGGAAGGAAAGTTTTTTTTTTTTTTCTGAAAAATGCCCTGCCAGGTCTAATAAAGTATTTCTCAATCATACTTGTCTTTGTCTTAAGTTTTGATGAATGCTGCAATGACTCCATCTCAAAATGCATCATTACAAGATGTGTCACTTATGTTTATTTTTTTTGTTTGTTTTTTTTTTGTTTGTTTTTGTTTTTGTTTGTTTTTTGGTTTTTTGGGGTTTTTTTGGTGTTTTTTTTTTCCAGAACAGGCAAAATGGAAAATTTCCCGAATCTTTTTGATAAAATGCTACTAGAAATCATGTGCAAATAAAAGAAAAGCTGGAAATGCTCACATTAGCCACTTTCCTGGAACCACTTAATAGCTGCTTCAGGTAGAGGTTCAAATCCTTCACTCTTTTGTGCTCAAGATCTGTGAAAGGCAAATGCCATGAGTGGGGAAACCTGCAAAAGAAGAATATTAGTAAGCACAAGTCTTGTACTGTATTTGCTGTAAATATTTCCAGCTCCACTTGACAGAAGAGAGGTTTTGAGGTAAGAGGTTTTGCAGGTAAGGGAAGGAATTCTTACAGGATAAACTCACAGGTCACATTACAGGGACTCACTTTCTTCTAACAATTCCTGCTAAATTATTTTAAATAAATATTTAAATTATTATGCTGAAGCACTTTTTTTCCCCCTCTAAATAACTAATTTTAAAAAGTGAAGTAAATAAATAAATCCTAAAAGACACTTCTTTGCATTTTATGGTCTCTAAATAGATCTAAGTAACTGGCCCTTTATGATCCCAAGAAAAAATTGCCTTTTTGCACAGCAGATCTCTGATCTCAGCCCAGAGTTGACATATTCCTACCACAGAACATTGAGCACCAAAGCCTTACAGCAACAATGTGACATTTGATGAATATATCATTGCTTGCATTTTTGCCTCAGCTATTTAGAGTGCACATAAGGTTTTGGGAGTAGGTCCTGATCCCATATCTAATTTCAGGTACTGGCATAATAAAAATAATCTATGAAAACAAACAATCATCATACTAACAAAATCAATCCCAACAAAAGCAATAACAATAGAAATAAAAGTAATGTTCTTCTGAATTTTTATTAAGATGAATTTAATTTTGGGTTAGTGAATAAATTACTCATGCATAGAATGGCCTTACGTCAATTTTCAAATACTTTGGTGGTTGAAAATGTCAAAACCTCCCATTTTTTTTTTACTTGAATCATCTTTGCATTTGAGAGACAATGCATATTAGATCATTCAAAAGGTTAGAGTTTTAGCAACACACATAATCAATTTATATTAACCTTGCCCTGACACAGGGTATTTATCTCCCAGGCTGAAGGAGCATTAGAAAAGCTATCTGTGCTAAATTGCACATAATGGCTTTTGTGATATGGGTTGCTAATAGCAGGATTCATAATTAACATTCTGCTTTATGTCCTCTAATGTATGAGACACAGAGAGGCAGAAGTTTTGATCTGTTGTTGTAATTCATGTCCCACCACAGTAAACACCCAAATGTGTCTTGCTTACAAACCTCTTTTTTTTTTTTTTTTTTTTTTTT